AGTGTCATGAGACTGGCTATCGCTTATCTCAAGGCTCGGAGTGTCGTCGATGGCTGTGAGTTGTTTTGTTATTAATTTCTTCAATGAAATCACCAGTGATCACTGACTTTTTCAGGCATATCTCAGAATTTATTGGAAATACTGATATTTTTTATGAGACCTTTTTTGTGGAGCTGATCAAGACCTACAAAAAAGGTTTCATCAAAAATTTGAATATCCTCAGTAGATTCGCAGGTATTTTGAAAAAACTATCAAAAACACTGGATTAACTTTGATAATGATTTATTTATTCACTTATTTATTTATTGTTGAATTGTTGCAGTGGCAGAACCACTCACGAAGGCTGAAAAGTTTTCGGAGATGGACACGATGTGCCAGGAAGCCTTGGATGGCTTCATGCTCGTGCTGTCTAACAATGGCGATATGGTCTATCTGTCTGAAAACGTCAGTGATTATCTGGGAATTCCACAGGTGAAAAAATCATTCGATTTTTAATTAATTAAAATTCAAATGATTATTCAATTTTAAATTAATTATTGCTCTGTACAGATGGACATGATGGGCCAGAGTGTCTTCGAATATGGACATCCATGTGATCATGATGAAATTCGTCAATGTCTATCGATGACAGCTGAAGACGTCGAGGAAAAGCGCAGCTGCAATTTTTTTCTCCGTTTAAAATGCACTCTCACTACTAAAGGGAGAAAAGTTAATTTGAAGAGTGCCTCCTACAAGGTAATTATTTCATTTATTGACAGAATTTATTAATGTAATTATGATTAATTAATTATTGTCTAGGTGATTCACTGCATCGGACACCCCATGGTATCTCGTCAGACTGTGTCTGATGCAACTGAGGATTCTGATGTCAGCATTCGTGAATTTTCTGTCTGTGGGTCCTCTGGATCCTCTGGTTCTGGAACTGAGGACAGCCAGGATTGCTCTGACAAGGGAAGTGTCAGACTGTCGAGTGGAATCTCTCTGGTGGTGGTAGGATGTCCCATTCCCCACCCCAGCAACATCGAGGTGCCTCTGGGACGTCACACCTTTCTATCCAAACATAATCTCAACATGAAGTTCACTTATGCTGATGACAGGTGAATTTATGTCTCCATAACTCTCCGTTTAGTCAATAATTAGTTGAAAAATTGAGTAACTTCTGTTGTTGTCACAAGTTTTACGAAAATATCTCCAATACCAAGGCAAATACAGAAATTTTTGTAATAAGCATTTTTCTAGCTGTCAGTCAACTCTACAAAAAGTATTCGACAATAATTCCGCTATCTCCTCAAATTCCGGAGATATTTCGAGACAAGTACCACAGAAATTATTGACTTTACACAATTTTTCCAGTTAATTACAGAATTTATTTCAACAATACGTTAATTATTTGAAAAATCGTGTGAAATAAATTTCCGTACATCTCGAGATATATACCAACAATATAATTA